ACTTTGTGTTTTTTTCCCCTGAGGTCGGCCTGTTAGCTTAGCTCGTAAGATAGCTTCTCAGCTGAACTGCTTTTAACGATCCAAAAACATGATTTTGGATGGATAAATTGGATTTTAAAGAGAAAAGAGAAAAGATGGGGTCAATGAAGAGCACCGGAGTTGAGCTTTTTGTCATCCAGTATCCAGTAGAAAAAAATAGACAGGAAGAAACGATAAAGCTGATAAAAGAAAATGAGGTCGATAATTTTCATTTATCATGCGATTAATTGATTTATTGTTTATTGCGACAGGCCTAATTTGAATATAGGCTACTGCTATATTAAAAACTACATGATTTTACAATTGTTGGATTTGATTGTTTATGAAATATTAATTAATAGTTAATCATACCAATATTTTTTCATTCATTCATTCAACCTTTATTTAAACTGATAAGTCACATCGAGCCTCAAAGACTCATTACAAGTGAGACCTGTTTGGACAGACAATACAAAAGTGTTGAAAAATGACACATAGGAGACAAATAAAAAAATCCAAAGACACTTTTAACCTCTGTTTGAAGGTCCACAATGTGATAATGAAAAAAAAAAATATTGGTTCAGATAAAATCACTCAGTTCAAATAGTTCCCTCTGGAGAGATCCGTGCACACTCGGGGGGTGCAGAGGACGACCAGAGACAAATCCAGAGTCCTGAAATGATGACAGAATGTTTATTCAGCTGGACTCCTCTGAAAAGTCCATGGAAATTCCTCAGAAGGATGGGAGGGGCTGAGCATCAGGTTTACAAAACTTTCCAGGCGGGTTGAGATAAGATGGCCGGTCAAGGCCAGTCAGGGAGCCGAATTCAGATAAACATGATTGTTTTGGGGACAGGCAGAACTTTAATGGCATCTACCTTGAGTCTATGTCAGTCCACTCGGTTCCAAAATGTCCAATTTAAATGACCATACCAATGGAACGTGCCTGAGAATAATCCCTGAGATCTGATTCAATCTGCCAAAAGTCTGGGTGCTCGAGGCACAAACCAAGCCATCATATAATGCAGGCAGCCTGATCAGGTCCAGATTTACTGCCAACAACTTCCTTGTTTGTTGAAAGACCAGGAACCAGCCAAATCCAAAAAGCAGGAACCAGTTATCATAAATCCAATTATATATGTGTCCTTAAAATCTACAGATGACAGTAGAGATAGACACGTCATCAAGTCTTCAAAGTCGATAAGATATCCAGCTGTGTGCGTGCCAACAGGGCAAATTGGCTCGCTTAAAACATGTCTTCTCTTCAAAGAAATGTTATCAACTGTGTTGAGGGACCAACTGATCAAATCAAGTCCATAGTTATGATTCGGAAGATTTGTAGAAGAGAGGCTCTAAAGCAGTTTCACAGACAGGACAGAGCAAAAGCAAAGTGGAGAGGGAGAGGAGGAGACGTCCGCCCTTGAGAAGAACAAGTGTTGAATGAGTTTAAATGCACTATTAAAATACACTATATTTAATTGTAACATCTGTTTGTAATAACTGGTCGCCAGAAGGAAAAAGGTGAATAACAACGTTTTTTCCCCATGTTTGTTTATGTGTCTGTCTGTTATCAAAATATATCATGAACCACTAAATTTTAATAGAACTTGCAGAAAGTAATCGTTTAATGTACATCTACAACTAATTGACAGTGTGAAGTCAAAGTGATTCACACTGGCTCCTACAGTCAACTGACCTTAAAAAGTGCAAGACTGGTCATAATGGAGTCAGTTTTACAGATACTGTGCTAAAACTCAGTGTGGCTGTAACTGAATGCCCAAATGCTACTTATTTTGCACACACACACACACAAAATATATATAATTTTAGCTTTCACTTTAGGAGCAAATATTGTTTATTTGTTAGAAAATTAGTTAATGAATCACTGCAACGATCTGAATTGTTTTTTTTTTTAAATCATAGTTTTATCATCTCATAACAGTCATTATAGTCAAGTCTCAACCTTTGCAGACTTGCTCTGTTATGGTTGTTCAAAGTAAGATTGGACATGATACACAATTGACTGATTGATATAGGTATGGATTGTTTATTTAAAGCGGTAAATGATAAATGGACTGTACTTATATAGCGCCTTTCTATCTTATCAAGATACTCAAAGTGCTTTACATTACAATCTGTGTCCTCATGTACCCATTCATACATCACTCTACTAGATCTCTACAAAGCTAATTCAACAAATCATTCTAAAGAGACTAATCAGAGCTTTAGATCACATTTAGACACTGATGGGACACACATCAGAGGCTATGAGGGGTTCATGTCTTGCCCAGTGACACTTCAGCATGTGACTGCTGGTGGATTCAAACCCCCAACTCTTGTATTGGAGGACGACTGCTCTAACCACTTAACCACAGCTGAATATATACATTATTTAAAATTATTTAGCACCTGCTGCACCTGTGTGCAGTCCATAGTTGCAGGAAACACTTCCTCCTGAAGCTGTGTCATATCTCCGCTCTGCAGTGGAGAAGTGGGCGTGGCCTAGAGCGCTGACATAGAGCAGCAGAGGCAGGGAGCTGAAATCATGACATTCTGTGCTCTTTTAGAGCGTTTAAAGTTTAGAAACATTGTTTAGAATGGCAAGAGTGTGGGAATGGTTTAAAATACCTATACATATATAAAACACCTATATACACACACACACACACACACACA